TCACTGTAAACTTCCCCCTTAGGACTGCTTTCATTGTCCCATAGATGTGGGTATGTTGTACTGGCATTAAAGTTTGATTGTAGAAACTGTCTAATTCCATCCTTTATTTCTTTTGTTACCCGTTGATTATTCAAGAGGGTATTGTTTAGTTTCAATGTGTTGGAATAATTTCTGTTGTTTCTTTTGCCATTGATTTGAAGTTTCATTGCACTATGATTTGATAATATTCATGGGATAATTTCAATTTGTGTGTGTGTGTGTGTTCATGCTTTATGGGATACTATGTGATCTATTTAGGAGAAAGTCTCCTGTGGTGCTGTGAATTATGTGTATTCTGTTGTTGGGTGGAACACTCCATAGATATCTATTAATTTCATTGTTCACAGATTTGTTTCAACTCTGATATTTCTTTGTAGATTTTTTGGTCTAGTTTATCTGTCTATTTGGAACAGTGGGGGTATTGAGGTCCCCCATTATAATTATTTTTGTGTTTAACTGATGTTTAATGTCCATTAATGTTCATTTTATGAAGCTGGGTATACTGGTTATAATTGTTATCTCTTCCTGTTGAATTGTTTTCTTAAACAACATGTAGTAGTCTTCTGATTACTTTTAGTAGTGGTCTGCTTGGGAAGATAGACTACCTCTAAGAACTGTAGAATTTCTTGCTTGTACTTTATAGATGGTTGCTTATTAGTTAGCAAGCCCCTTTCATCCCAGATGAATACTTGGGCATATACCATCAGAAAGGCATATTTAGAGTCTCTCTCTCTCTCTCTCTCTCTCTCTCTCTCTCTCTCTCTATATATATATATATATATATATATAATATTTAGCTTTTTTACCTTTTCCTAATATCTATGCCCAAGTAAGAGCTGTTAGCTCTGCCTTCGGAGCAGAGGTCCCTGGGGGAAGAGGTTTGGTTTCAATGAAGTGTTGTGAACTGAGAAATGCATAACTTTGATGCACTTCAATGCATTGATGTCCTTTCAATGCCCTTCTTGTCCTTCAATGTCCTTCTTGCCTTTTGATGTCCTTCTTGGACGAAGCTACTTTCATCAGTGAACCACACCTCTTCAGGGTCTTGGAGGAGCAGGTCACTGATGTTCTGCCTGCTTACATCTGGTAGATTACTTGCTCACAAGAGTGACTAACACTTAGGCCTGTAGGCATTAAAGAGTCAGGACTAAGAGTAGTGCAAGGTTTTTTGTTTGTATGTTTTTGAGACAGGGCCTCACTATGTAGTTCAGGCTGGCCTTGAACTCACTATGTAACTCAGGCTGGCCTCAAACTCACCACAATCCTCCTGCCTTAGCCTCCTGAGTGCTGAGATTATAGGTGTGCACTGCCATACCTGGCAGAGTAGTGCAAGTTTTTATAACAACATCAGAAATGTCTAAGACCATGGCCTGATATTTGGCAAACTGCTCCTCTGTTAACTACAAGTAACCTTTGGTCTCAAAAATTGCTCTGATCTGATGGGAGGATTTCTAGTTTTTGTCCTAAAGTCTTGTTAGCATATGCTATAGCTGCTACTGCCCTCAGGTAGGGTGGCCATTCAGCAGCCACTACATCTAACTTTTTGAAAAGTATGCAACTGGGCAGAGTTCTTGTCCTAGCCTTTGGATCAAGACACACAAAGCTGTTCTTCTCTTTTCTGATATGTAGAGGAAGAAGAGTTCTCTTAAGTCAGGTATTTTATTATACCATGCAGCATGATCCACCTGTTGGCTAATTTGGTCAGGGAGACCTGCTATAGTCCCAACAGGTAAAATCCATTTTAGCCTTTGTCAAAATTTGAGAATTGCCCCCAATTTTGCTAGGAAATTTCTTCCTAGCAAGGGAGTAAGATGCTGCTGTAGGACAATTACAGACTTTTTATTTGGTTCTCTGAAACAGGGTCTTGTTACGTAGTTCAGGCTGGCCTTGACCTCACTATGTAGTCCAGGCTTACCTTGAACTCTTGATGATTCTCCTACCTTTGCCTGTTGAGTGCTGAGATTACAGGTGTGTGCCACCATACCTGGCTGACAATTGCCAACTCATGGTTACATATTTGCCCTTCAAGTGACATGTCAAAGGAGATGTAAAAAATCTCCAACTAGGGTCCCCCTCAACCCCAGATATGTCTACAGATCTAGAGAAGGGTTTTCAAAAGAAATAAATCAAAACAGAATGAAGTAATTGAATTGAGTCACTCGTGATGTCCAGCCTTGCCCAGGGTTCCTCGCAGGAAATGGTGCTGTCCATGGACAGGGGCATTATAGGTTCACTTCAGCCTCTTCAGAGCAAGACATGAGGGTTTTGGCTGGCTTTGCCCCTCTCTGGGAGCTGGAACATTCAACGCTTCAGTGCCATGACTCAGACACATTGGCTACCTCACACTTAGAGCAGGGGCCAGGCAGGAGCTTACTGCAGTCTTCTTGCAGTCAATCATCCTTTGGTTTTCCTTAGATGATTTGTGTAAGTTTAAACACTGCCAAATGCAACAACTATAATTCTAGCTTTTTTCTTTTGACCTTCCTCTACATCCCAATTGTCAAACAAAGAAAAGGCCATGTTTAGCAATTGGGTCATAGACGTCTGACTTCCCATCTGAAATGTCTTTATTAAACAGATTGGAGAGACCCATATCCTCCTGACAGACAGGTGGGGATCCAAAGACAGGATCATCAAAGATACCTCTCTCTTCCTCAGGGGCCACTCTAAATATCATAGTTTCTGGGCTTTTCCTGAGATAAAGGTTCACAGCATCCTGAACATCAGGGATTTCACTCCACCTTCTACATTTTAAACAAATTATTTAACTAAAAATAGTCTCATAATTTAAACTGCCATCCCTTATTCATCTCTCTCCATTTCCTATTTCCTATTGAACCCAAATTATATTACAATAGTAAATAATCTATACCATTTTTAAATTAGTGGGGTCAATCCTTTCCCACTGATCAAGAATATGGCCTAGTGGTGAAGTCAGTGGAATCTACAGGGCATTTTTCAGGAGATTTTTCCATGGATCATTTTGGGGCCAATAGAGAGAGAGCTAGTTCTTGGTTCCTTAAAATGGCATCCCATACAGAAGGAGTGGAATCAATTTAAGCCAGCAAAGCATCACTTGAGAGATTCAAGTATTCAATAGACAGATGTCTCCATCCAAAGCCAGGACAATGTTGGCATCTTTTATTGAAGGATAGAAGAAAGTCCTACTGAATACTTTTTGTCTCCTTATGGGAAACCACTAATTCCATGGGGAGAGGAGTGTTGAGCCACTTGATGGGTCTACCTAACCTTTCAAAACTCCCATGAGATCAGGGTGGAGTCCTTTCCCACCAGGACACCCTTAGTCACATTGCACTCCTGGATGGCTCTACTTAAGCAGGGTAGAGCCACATGAGAAACATTATCCCTCACATTTACCCCCAGTAATAAAAATTCTGGTGCTGGGGATTTAGCTCAGTGGCTCCACCACCTGCTTCGAAAGTGCAAGGTCCCGAGTTCGATCCCTGGTACCAAAACAAAACAAAAACCCAAAATCTCTGGTGCTTTGTTTAAGAAATTAGAGATGGAAACCTCTTTTTTAAGAAAAAAAACCCTTTGAAAATGCTGAGAATGTCTCATAGTCACTTGAGTTAAACTTTACTGGCTGCTCCTTTGTTTTGCTGAGGCCATCAGGGTTATGTTTCTAAATTATCTGCATTTTGTTAAAAGAAACAAGTATGGGAAGAAAGTGTGGTGGAACCCATGTGGGTGATCCAAAAGAGGTTGCCAGCCATGTGACAAGACAAGATGGCAGCCAGTCAAGTGAAGAGACAAGATGGTGACCCTGACTAAGATAGAACCCTGAGAAAGAAATGGCCATCTGTGGTAATCATGGGGATGGGACTTTGAGCAGAAAAGGAGTAAATTCAGGTAGGCAGCTACTCAGGAAGAAGACCAAATTATTAACAGCTATTTCTCTCCCAAAAAGTGAGAACACTGCTGAGCAAAGTGTTATGGAGAAGAGAAACTTAGGGTAAAATATACATGCTGAACTCTAGGTAAAACACATGGTACATGAACAATCTGTTCTGCAACTGGGTTAATAACAGGCTTTCTTTACTCACTTGTATCTACAATGAGTGAACAAAAATGGGAAAAGAAAAAATGGGAGAGATAAACTTGAAGCAGGCCTATAGACCTCCTGCAGTCTAAAATTGGAAGAAAAACAGAGGCTGTGCATTTCCCCTTCACCTCACATGCTGGGAAACACAGGAAACAGTTCCTGGTTCTGTGAGAAGTCTTTTGTATCCCTCATCTTAGGAGAAAGGGAGAAAAAATGTTCCCAAAGGGCTACCTATTCCGGAAGCCTACGCCAAATTATGCTACTGGGTTTGGGGGTAGGGTGCTGGATCTCCTTATGGAGGTGGTTTCTAGGTTCTTCCTATCCTCAGCATAGACTTGATCAAGACCAGCAGAAATGATAGCATAGTTTTATTAAAAATAGGAAAAGAACAGGCTCTGCAGAGTGAGTTTGAGCCAAGTAAAAATAGAAAAAGAAGTATACCCTATAGTGTGAAGGTGGGTCATCATGCAAGAGAGAACACAGTGGCCCTACATTAAATGTGTTTCTCATATACTGCATATCATTGGGTTTTGTTTCTTGATCCACTCTGCCAATGTGTGTCTTTTTACTGGGGACTAGAGACCATTCACACTGAGAGTTGCCCTCCTCAGATTTTCTCCCACTCTATCCCATGTTTTAAGATCTAGACTACCATGATGCAGAAACCATGGGTTTTGTTCAAGCACAAGTTCTAAAAGCTTAACAAGCTGTACCTCGGTGACCAAAGCAACAGCAGTCTTCAGTAGCTGGTGCAAAACCTTCATGTAACACATGTTGTTAATGATTGCCCCAGTGTTATCCTGACTGACAGAAGAATCCCAAAGGCGCTGAAAGGCCCTAATCAATGATCTGCTTACACAACACTCCTTCCTTTACTTTTCTTTGGCTTTGCACTCACCATCACAGCAGTTTCATGTCACTGTTCGGGCTCCACGTGCCAGGTTCAGATCAGCAAAGCCTGATAGAGTGATGAATGAAAAATGTGAAAGAATATCTTTGTCAGGGGTCAGAGGACTTCACCAAAATCAAACAAATTCCCAGATTATTGAGGAACAACAAAGCATAGTGTTCTGCTGAGTGCAGAGGTGAGCAAAGCATGGTGACAGTTTGGCTGAATTATTAACTTTTCTGATTGTCCCCTAGGGAGCTTCCTTTTTTTTCTCCATAAATCCCATCTCTGCTTGAGTTGGCAATACATGCTATCTTCAAGAAGTTTCAGCTCCTCGGAGTTAACAATCTTCTATGACCCCCTCCCCCAGGCAACCTAAGCAGACATTGATCCACTGGGTGTTGCAAGGAACTTCACATCTCCCCCTTTTTTGTTTCTTTAAGCAATTGCTTAGTAATCCAGACTCGGTGTTGTTGTTTTTGGCTCACCAATGCCTTCATTCTGATTTTACACACTAGACAAGGAGAAAAAGAGCAATCAATAACAAACAATAAGGGTATCATTCTCCAGTGAGTTCCTGCAATCCAGATTCAAGGGGTCTTTTGCTGTCCCATGGGTCAACAGCGTTCATCCACTCTTTGGGTCATTCTTTTCAGGCTCTCCCATGTCATCTCAGGAGCTCAAGTCATCCCTGGCAGCAGGAAGGGAAATGGGTCTTTCTTTTCCTCCAAGTAGAGGCTCTGAATCTGGAGAATCAGGTTCTCTCCCCTGAAGGCCATTGGTAAGGCTTCACTAACCATACTGATAATCAAATTGGTCTTTCCTATAACAATACACAAGCAAACCCTTGACTCCATGTAAATAGAGAAACAGGGCCCTCCCAAACCCATGAGTTAATGTCTTAGGGTTAGGGTTAGGGTTAGGGTTAGCGTTAATGTCTTGCCATAGAACTAGTAGGTGCTCTGTGTGTGCGGGCTTAGAAGCCCAATGTTGTTCTGCAGGGGTGTGACATTGATCAGTAAGATTGAAAAAATTAAGAGTATTCAGAGCTTTATGTAATCTCATTTTTGGATTGCTGTTGTACCCCTATCATCTCCCCCTTTTTGTTTCTTTAGCATATTTTTTAAGGTTTGATGAACTCTTTCAATAAGTGCTTGACCTTGGAGATTGTAAAGGATACCTGTTGTGTGGGACATATTCCATTGATTGCAAAAAGCCTGAAAATGGAAAGTGCTATATGCAGGGCCATTATCTGTCTTAATTTGCTTAGGGAAACCAATGTGACAAAGCAGCTAAGGCAATGAAGAATAACATGAGAAGTAGCTTCTCCACACTGTGCAGTTGTATGTATCATTCCTGAATAAGTATCAAGAGAGACATGTACATATGATAACAGGCCAAAACAAAGGACATGAGTAACATCCATTTGCCAAGTTTGATTAGGTTCCAATTCTTGGGGATTAACTTCCTGCAGAGAGCCAGTGTCACCCATCCTCTGGCATGAGGAACACTGTTGTACAATATTTTAGGGTTGAATCTTTGTTAGATCAAAATCCTTGCAAAGGCATGCCAGTTCATGAGCATCACCAAAAACAGAAAACATAACTAAGAATCAGATGCTTCATTTCTTTTAGAAATGGGTTCAGGGAGCCCAGAATGAAAATGGAGATGGGTAATAAAAAGAGGATGACAGTGTGTCTGGACTAACTTCTGTAGTTGAATGAAAAGAAGAGATCTGGTGCCATGGAGGGTTTGACATTGGCGGTCTCAATATTTTTTACAGAGTACACAGCATATTGAGAATTAGAGACTAGATTTAAAGGTTCCTGAGGAAAAGTTTGTAAAACAAGTATGATAGTGCCAAATTCTGCCTTCTGAGTGGAAGTGAATCTACCCCTACTTAATTTTAGAGAACTTGACACTATACCTGCCTTCCTAGTGCAGATAGAGCCATCAGTAAATGGTATGTGCCTGTGGAATGGGTTCAGAATGAAGAGCCTTAGAAAAGATGAAAGAAGTAGTAGTTAAAAAGCAAGAGCTTATCAGCAGGCCAAAATCCAAAAATTTCTCCTGTAAAATTAGCTAGTGCACATTGTAGTAACACAGACTGTTGAAGCAAAGTTTCAAATTCCCCATGAGGAATGGGGGTCCTGATGTGAGGATCACAACCTGGCAATTGATTAACTCTCTTTCTATCCATGATGAAAAGAGAAGCTATGAGCATAGCATAAGATGTGATATTTTTATGGCCTTCATGGCTCAAAAAGAGCCTTTCTAAAATTTTAATGTCAATTATCCATTAAGTCCAGTAAGTATGCCAGGAGTGAAAAAAATAAATAATTGAATAGGAAATTGTAGACACTGTTTAATAGCTTCTTCCACTAGTCATAATTCCTTTTCAGCTTCCAGGGTTAAGGTATGAGGGGAGGACAAATCAGGATCACCCTGAATAATGTTAAATAGGTGTGTCAAATAGTATAGGGATCCCTAAACTGGGATGGAGCCAATTGATATTACCTAGCATTTTTGAAAATCATTTAAAGTAGTCAATTGGTCATTCCTAATATAAGCCTTTTGGGGCTTAATAGTATGCTGTGTTAAAATGTAACCCAAATAATTCCGGGGGAAGATTTTTTGTACTTTATTGAGTGCTACAATTAGCCCCAAACTTTGACCTTGTTCTAGCAGTTGGATGATATAACTTTTAAAAGCTCCAGGGTGTTTTCAGTATTCAACAAGATATCATCCATTTAATTAAAAATAATTGCTTCAGGCCACTGTTGTGTTATTGGTGCTAGTGTTTGAGCCACAAAAGTTTGACATATAGTAAGACTGTTAAGCATCCCTTGGGGCAGCACTTTACAACAAAATCTCTGGGCTTGAGCTGAGTTATTGATAGAAGGAAGAGTGAAAGCAAACTTCACAATCTTGAGGGGCCAAAAAAAATGATAAAGAAATAATATTTTAGATCAATCACTACCAATGATCAGCCTTGGGAAATCATAGATGGGAAAGGGAGCCCAGACTGAGGAGCCTCCATAGGTTGAATGACTGTATTGATTGCACAGAGGTCATCCAGTAGTCTCCATTTCCCTGACTTTTTAGTATAACAAAAAAATAGGGGAAATCTAAGGACTCTGGAAGGGTTCTGTATGTCCCTGTTGTAACTGCTCCTGTACTAAAAGGTGAACTTGGTATGATTTTTCTCCTTTTAATGGCCACTGTTCAACCAAGACTGGCTCCTGTGTGAGCCAAGTGAAGGCAAGGGGAGTAACAGCAGTGGCATCTATGAAAATGTTGGATTACCTAGTGAAAAACTCCATTGTTGTAATAGGTCTCTGACTCAAAGATTTATAGGTATATCGGTGACATGTGGTTAGATGAGCACTGTCTTTCCCTCTGGGCCAGTGAGAGAAAGAATAGCACTACTCTCAAGTATGAAAGACTGGGTTCCAATTCCTACCAACCCAGAGGAGGTTCTTTGGCAAGGCCAAGTTTCAAGCCATTGTATTTTTACAATAATACTAACATCTGTTCCTGTGTCCAGCAGTCCTAGGAAGCTTTAATTTTTTAAAAATCTGAACAGTCAAGCAGATCATAAGGCTGTGATGGGCTGGGGCCAATAGACTCCCTGATCTCCAGTGCTACCAAATCCCTGATCTCCTCTCGCCTTTTCTTTAGACCAAGGAACCCAGTATTGCAAGAGGAAGAGTTGAGCAGTTTTCATTCCACAAGTAAAACTTTGGATTCTCTTTCCCTGGATTAAATTCCATAATTTCCCCTTGATAATCTGTGTCTATGATGCCCAGAATCACCATCACCCCTTGAGCATTTACTACATTTACTACAGTCCCAGTCCGAAGGGGTCTGAAGACTCCTGTAGGGACTTTTTGAGGGGCCTTTCCCTCTAACAGGTTAACTTCTATTCTAGTGAGCAAGTCCAGTCTGGCACTTCCCTGAGTGTTGGCACAGAGGGAAGGGATAGTTGTTTTTTCATCTGATTGAAGGCCATCACCCCCATTATTTGTGTAGCCCAGGCAGGCTCTTTTGGGTGTTTCCCAAAGAGAGAAAGTTGCTGTCCTTATCATATTTAGAATGGCACTGATTAGCCCAGTGGTTCCCTTTTTTACAGTGAGGGCAAAGACACAGGGCCTGAGAAGTGTTAATTGGTCCAGCAGGTGAAGATCCCCCTCCTTTCTGTCTGCAGTAATTTTTAAGGTGACTAGGTTTTCCACATTGAAAGCAAGTAGCACTTTTCCCTTTATTAGGAAAAGGCTGAATGGTGGCAGCAAAATCCTTAACTTTATGTGCCTTTGTGCTCACCAACTGATATGCCTTTATAAGGTCCCCCACAGCCTGAACTCAAGCATGAATAGGTTTTTTTTTTTTGCGTCATGGAAGTTCCTATTAGCATTTTCTTTTTCTTTTTCTTTTTTTTTTTTTTTTTGGTACCAGGGATTGAACTCAGGACCTTGCGCTTGCCTGAGGCAGGCGGCAGAACCACTGAGACAAATCCCTGGCCCCTTTCTATTAGCATTTTCATAGGCAAATTGAAGCAAAAGAATATCCAGGACCTGTAGATAGCTAATTTGCCTCTGATGCCCTATTGTAACGGGTCAACAAATTGCACAAAGGACTCCTGTGGGTCCTGATGATCTCCGAAAGTGACCCTGAGGGCTGGCTGGAGGCAGAAATGCAACCACATGGCTGCAAGAGTTCATTATTCAAAAGTCTGTCCTGGGAAAGAGAGCTGGGCATGAATCATGGCATACAGCCCTCTTCCCTATAACATCTGATTTATACTTCCACAAGCACATTCTGAGAAGCTTGTTCTTCATAAAGATCATGAACCTCAGGTCTCTGTAGCAAATATTGAGAGGCTTCCAAACAGATCTTTGCTAAGGCCCTGCAATCCCAGGAGTAATGTGATGCTGGGTGCCTAAAGCAATAATCAGCCCTTTAGTAAAGGAGCGAGTTGGCACATTTTCTCTGATACACTTTCTGATCTCTTTGTAGTTTTCAAATTGTAGGAGGAAGGTATGTATCCTGTTCCCATTTCCTACGTGCCCTGGGAAAGCTGTAATGTCCCCCACAGAGAGCTGCCTCCCTCAGGCAGTCCGTAAATGCAGATTGGGCCATCAGGGGCAGTGGTGGTGAAGGTGGAGGAGTTCCACATGGCTTAAGATCTTTTGGGCTAGCAGTGGGAGTGGCTGATGGCTTAATAGCTGATTCATTAGCCTCCTTAATTTCATTCTCCCCATTAACTGTGACCAGGGCAACAGGGACAAGACCCCAAGTTATCAAGCTGGCCACTGGTACCTTTCTAACTTGTCTTTGAGCCCTCTTCAGATTCTCTCCTACTCTATCCCATTATTTAAGATCTAGACTACCATGATGCAGAAACCATGGGTTTTGTTCAAGCACAAGCTCTAAAAGCTTAACAAGCTGTTCTTTGGTGACCAAAGCAACAGCAGGCTTCAATAACTGGTGCAAAATTTCATGTAACACTTTTGCTTTGTTGATAACGACTGCCCCAGTGTTACCCTGAATAACAGAAGAATCCCAAAGGGGCTGAAAGGCCCTAATCAATGATCTGCTTACACAGCACTCCTTCCAGTTTCACTTTTCTTTGGCTTTGCACTCACCATCACAGCAGTTTCATGTCACTGTTCAGGCGCCACTTGCCAGGTTCAGGCCAGCAAACTCTGGTAGAGTGATGAATGAAAAACATGAGAGACAGAGAGTATCTTTGTCAGAGGTCAGGAGACTTCACTTAAATAAAGTAAAGTCCAAAACTAACTCAAACTCCCACATTTGTTGAGGAACAACAAAGCATAGTGTTCTGCTGAGTACAGAGGTTAGCAAGGCATAGTGACAGTTTGGCTGAATTATTAACTTTTATCTGATTGTCCTCTAGGGAGCATTCATTTTTTTTTCTCCATAAGGCCCATCTCTGCTGCAGTTGGTAAAACATCCTGTCTTCATGATGTTCCAGCTCCTCGGAGTTAGCAGTCCTTGCTGCCCTCCTTGACAACCCAAGCAGACATTGACCCTTTGGGTATCACAAGAAACTCCACAGAGAGTTATTACTGAAATGCATTCACTTACTCCTGTCATTCCATTATATTCCTATTGCTGATTTCCTGCGTTTCTTTCCTACTGCTTAGCTGCTCATCTTGCCAAGTGTATTCACTCTATTTGACTTATTTGTATTGTTAGCTTCATTTTCTCTTTCTAGAATAGTATTTGTAATAATTATTTGGTGTTTATGATTTTCTTAATGTGCTCTTTGTCATGGAAAGACCTTATTTTTCCATAAATTTTGAAAGATAGTTTTACAGAGTATGTTTGTCTTGGGTTGTTTTCTATTGGGGCTTGAAATACTTCAAGTTTTCCTGACCTTTACGGTTTGTGTTGAGAAGTCTCCTATAATTCTAATTGGTTTAATCTTATAAATGATACTTTTCTCTAACAGCTTTCAAGATTCTGTCCTTGTGTTTGACATCATAGTTGTATTTATCATGAAGTTCTTTTCTGATTGTTACTACTGGTTATTCTCTATGCCCCACTTTTATTTATGCTTTCCAGACTTAGTTCATTTCTCTGCATTTTGGTCTGTTTATCTAGTTTCTCTGTAGTTTCTAATTTTCCTGTCAGCTCCTTCCCATTTCTCAGAGATGTACTTTTTTCTCTTCACTAAGTTGTGTTCTTTTTTTTTTCCATTAACTTTACTGGTACATTTTAGGTATAGAGTACAGTTACATTTATCATTGGGATCTTGTACCTTTACATGACGTATCTTGGCTCTTATTTTTTCCCCATTCCCCTGCCCTCCCTTCACCCCCTCCACCCTTCCCTATTTACAAAGACTTTGTTTCCATTTTTT